AGCGCGGCTGCAGTGGTGGCCGCGGCCCGGGGAAGCGGCCCGGCCGGCGCCGTGTCTGCATGGCCCGCTGTGTGACAGCGCACCGAAGGTCAGCGCGCCGGCGCCGTGCCGCTGCGGTGTGGGCGGCCGCACCGGGCCGGTCACTGCTGTCCGCCGGGCAGGCTACAGACACGGGCCGGCCGCCACAGACCGCCAGAGCCGCCGCGGCCAGTGTCCGGCCGGCCGGCCGCCGCTGTCCGCCGGGACGGCACGACCGCCATAACAGCGCGGCCGTTTGGAGCCGTGCCAGAGCTGAGCCGCGCACTGCGCTCCTTCCAGACGGGCCGGCCTCGCAGGACAGAAGCATTTCGGCCGTGACGTCAGACACTGCAGCGCCAGGCATGTCCAGCTCTACAGATTTGGACGGGCCATAGTGATATGTGGTCACTGCGCTGGCTGGTCCGAATTAGGTGCTTCTCAACGGATGGAAATGTGTCTGACCTATTTCCTGAACAAAACAGGGAACAGTCCCAGAATTCATGTAATACTCTAATGCATTGTCCCAAGTTACTTTTCTTCATTTCATTCACACATGACACTAAGTACCTACAAGCCAATGAACTAACAAAGCACAAATGTTACCTATCATTCCTGACATTAACTAAATTTACATTGAACACGAAACGTCAATCATGGGCAGTTACTGGTGAGTGCGAACGCTACGTTAGTTTCTTTTATTCCTACCTCACAACCTCTATGTTACTACAGGGAGCGACTTCAAATGATAAGTTTTTTTCGCATAATAGATAGCCTTGTGCATTGTGCAATTCATTTTAGAAGCAATGCAAGCGATGCTGTCCACCTTTGATTCTGCTTTCAGCTTTATGATACATCTGTCTAATTGCTTTGTCAATGAAAATGTCACTGATAAATTTTGTAAATTTTGTTTGCGTAGCGGCTGGCCTTCATTGCATTTTGCGTTATAATTGCCTGCGGCGTAGGAACAACGCAAACGCGCATGTGCGACTGACTGATGACCTATTTATGTATGTCTCGGCTCCGTAGTCCAGGATTAATGATCGATGCCATTCAACGTGGGAATTCAATGCGCTGCAAAGATGAAGGCAGCATATTTTTAACATTTCATATGGATGCCTACCAGGTATACCGATTTTACATAACGAGTCCGAAGTTTCATCTCTCTCGTAGGGATTTCTAGGTATTCCAGCGACGTTGCTCAGTTAGTTAGTGGATGAACTTTGTTTATAACTGCGTCGCCTGACCACCGGATGAGCAGCCCAGCGCAGTATTTACACGCAGAAAGTCAGCGCGCGCCGCTTCAAATGTCACCTAAAAATGACGTTAAAACCCTCGCCAGCACAGGCCATTTTGCGTCTTTCGACGGCACAAGTTGGTACGACCCCCCTCGCGTTTGGCCCCTGATCGAGCTAGAGCTTCGCGGAAAAAAACGAGCGTGTTGCCCGTCACGAGAGGAAGCCGATGATACCCAATTTTAAGGTCCTAGGTCATCGGGTAACCTTCCAGGTCAGGTCAATGACCCGAAAACCGGGAAAATCGGGACCTGTTAGAAAGTCGTAAAGCGTGGCTGCTATGTGGTTTTCCGGGGTGCTGATCCACGAATATATCGTGTTAGTATTGATCAGAGATGATGTCTTTAAGCATTTAGACCAGGTCGGGTCAGGTCAGGTCAGGTCAACCGGTAGGGGTTGTGACGGGTATTCGTAATACGTGTCAACCGCCTCTGACAGCTTCGTAACATGTTACGAAGGCACCAAAACTACTTCGTAGATGTTCAAATGGCTGCTAAATTCGAATTCAGCTCCAAAATACTAGCCTAGAAACATGTAAAACTCGAAAAAGTGAACCGAGGTCACCCGAGGTCACCAAAGGTCAGTGACCTGACCTGACCTTCAGGTGACCTTGACACCCACCCTAATGCATGGGAGCAACATCAAATCACATGTTTGAACGTTTGAAACCACGAAAAGCTTGCAAACGCGCTGCTAATGCGAGCCGACATACGATACGCCGAATTGCGATTACGGCCAAACATGGTCTCGGAAAAGAGGTCACAGGTCAAAGGTCATTTGGGTCAGGGTCATGAAATTTTCAGTGTGGGTGTAAAATTGATAAATGCAAGGGTACTGAAAGTTTCGTCGCGATCGGCTGCTTTTTACGCGAGTTATTCGCGAAAAACCTTAGGGGGGGTGCCCCCTGTGCCGGCGAGTGTTAACCCGCGCCCTGCTGGGGGGTGTTTGAACACCCCCCTTGTGGTTTTTCGCGAATATCTCAAAAACGGCGGCGCTCCCGCCGCCGTTTTTGGTACAGCTTATCATACATCAATTCTACACATGTTGTGAAAATTTCAGACCAAGGTCATTCAAGGTCAGGTCACCAGGTCACTTGAAGTGACCTCACCTCATAAAAAGTTTCAATGTCTGTCATAGCTACACCGAGTGACCGATCGCTTTGAAACTTTCAGCGATTGATAAGGGTAACAGTATCTATAAAATGTTTGTCTCGGAATTTTGATATCGGTGACCTAAGGTCAGGTCAATTTTGCGACCTCCCCATTATAAGTCAATGGGAGAAAATTGAAATGCGCCTCTTTTGGACGGAAGACATTATAAACACTCCCAAACACTGAATTACAAGTGGCTTAGACACACTGAACATGAAAATGGTGTCCGTGACCCTTGTTTATGACCTGAGGTCATCTTAGGTCACGAATGGTATCTAACAGTTTTTCGCAAATAACTTTTGATAGAGGCATGCTAGAGCGATGAAAACGCATTAGATGTGTTCAGCTCGACGATACGGATCGACTGATATGCAACATGACCCTTTCCGGTCAGGTCATGACCTTGACCTGAGGTCAAATTTTCAAGTTGACCTTTCAAGGTCAAGTTATAGTTCATTCGATGCGTCTTGACGAGAGGAACACGATGCCGGTAAAAGTAAGCTCGTACACGGCTTGGGTCAAAAGTTATTGCAGAAAAACTGTTTCCAAAAAAATCGGCTATTTTTCCAGTTTTTGCCCCCTGCAGGCAAAACCGTTGACGTTAGGTCAAATGTGAGAGAATTGCCAAGAAAGGGCGTTAATAGGGCTATCGAATGCGCTTTTCCGCGGCGCTGTAGCTCTATTGGTTCCCGAGTTATGCGTTGGCTTCTTGGAAATTTTCGATATTCGACCTGGAAATCGGCGAAATTTTGCCTTCAATGACCTCTGGTGACCTGACCTTTGACCTGACCAAAAAATTGACCGAAGTGATTTCGTCATTATTTTTGACGCTCTTTCGAACGCCGCCTTCCGCGTATCGCCACGTGGCCCAGGAGCCGAGTTACAAGGGGGGGGGTGTTCAAACACCCCCCCCCCCCAGCAGGGCGTGGAAATCCAGGACCCCCAGCCGGGCGTGGGTTAAAGTTGCACTCTTACGGGAAATATACGCTTAATGAAGCATGAACAATCCATACATTAGGTACTTTCGCAGATCAGTATTGAGTAGTAGGCACAGCACATGCAATATGCATGCTTATTGAATAACAAATATTAATTAATAATGACAAATTTGCTTGCATCAGTTTAGTCCTCGACAAGCCTATATGTTTGTCCATGGCGGGTGGACTCTGCGCTCGCCGTTTCGTCCCTAACTGAGCGTAGAGTCTCGCAGAAAAAAACGAGCATGTTTGCTTTTACGAGACGCAGCGACTGGTACCCAATTTTAGGGTCTCAGGTCAACCCGTCACCTCTGAACTCAGGTCAAGCGCCCCAGGGTAGGGGCTCGGTTTTTGGTAAATAGCGTCACCAAAAATCGTCGCAAAGCCGCGATTTTGGCACCTTCGTGCTTGTGCAATGCTCGAGCGCGTCCAGTCGGCTTTATGTTTGGGTGAGGTTAACCGAGGGTGTTGACTTCAGGTCAAGATCAGGTCAAAGCCACTCAGGTCACAAAATTGGTCGAAGGATGTCACATCGCATATGATGCGATTTGGATGGTCTTTCCGAGTCTATTGGTCACTTCAACGCCAGGGGACGGCACCTGCCCCCCGCTCCCGTCCCCCCCCCACGCCCCCGTCCACACCCGGCCACCGAGACTAGTTATTCTTCAGTCTACTGGTATACAGGCTAGAGCTATCTAGGCCTTTTTTTAAGAGCCCACAGCCCGTGACCGAGCTCTCGGTCACATCAGGCAGAACAGATTGATTGAGCAAATTGTAATGAAAGAATGAATCAGTGCCATTTATCATGGATTATACATCAGGAGTGGGCAAACGAGCTGACTGAAATGTATCAACTACAACACTTTCACTGTATTCATCACTTAGTTATACGAGATAATGTTTGTTTTTATTGAAATGCGTATATCCACGTTTTCATCGAAGTTTTCAAAAGTTTAAGCCATCCGCACGCGTCCTACATAGTTAGGTGCAACGGAGAATTTATACAAACTCCATATACCCATGTACTCGTACATTAATTTTCACCTGACCTACATATCACAACACACTGATTTCCTTTAGCACTGAAATTTAATGATAAAACGATTTTTATCGCAATCATCTCAAGCTGAAATAGGCAGTCTGAGCAGAGTAGCTCGACTGCTTTCTATTGAATTAATTTTCTGTATTTATAGATATGCCTCACCAAGTCATGCACTGTACGAAGTACATACTTGTACATCTGTTATGGAAGTGCAAAGACTTAGTTACTGAAGTAAGAAAGTTAGATTATTTAATACAACATACGTGCCTATCCACTGTGCATTGTGCAATAGCACGCATCCGCTGTATATCTTGTCATGTCTCGCATCAAGGATTATCTCGTTATAGGTATCGTGACTGTCGCCCTGTGCCCGGTCCGCTGACCCGTCTGCCTGTCTGTGTGCCGGCGCAGGTTTCCGTTCCGTTTGGGTCTGCAGCCGCCGCCGCCGCCGCCGCCGCCGCCGCCGCCGTCGGCCGCGCCGGTCACGGTCGGCTCACCTGTGGGCGCCCACTCAGCGGCCATGCTGTGCGGCCAGGCCAGCAGCGGCGCGCCGCCGCCGCCGCCGTCTCCCGACCAGGAGCCCATCGACCCGCGCGCCTATGAGCACCTGCTCTGGGGGCCGCTGTCGGCCGCGCCGCCGCCGCCGCCGCCCGTGTCGGTGGCGGCCGCCGCGCCGCCTCACTACCCCCGCTACTATGGTTACCCGGCCGCGGCGCGAGCCTACTGCGCCGGCTACCCGACGCCGGTACCGTCACCGGCCGGCTACGGCACGCCGCCGGGGCCCAGCGGCGACCCGGCCGGCTATGTGTGTCTCACCCCGCTCACCCCGACCGCGGCGCCTCCCGGGGCGACACCCTGCTCGGCCGCCGGCGCCGATACAGAGCCCGCCGAGAAAAAACGACGCGGCAGGAAGAAAGGTCAGACGCGCGAGTCAGGTGCGTGGACGGCCAACAAGAGACTGGGTCGGCCTCTGGGCACCACCCGCGCCAATGGCTACAAGGTGGGCTGTCGCGGCGGCCGGCGCAAGGGGACCACACGCGCTAACGGCTACAAGGTGAGCGGCGGTCGGCCGCGCGGCACAACGCGCGCTAACGGCTACAAAGTCAGCACGGGCCGGCCCAAAGGCACTACCGTGGCCAACGGCTACAAGTGCAGCACGGGCCGGCCGCGCGGCCCGTCCGGCGTGGCTAAGGAGGGAGACACGGACTGCGGCCGACCGAGCGCGCCCGTCCTGCAGGGCGGCGCGGCCACCGACACACCGGGACAAGGTCTGACGGGCGACACACGGGGAGCGGGTGGACACCGGCCCTGGCGAGTAATCGGGACGGGCGCATCACCACGGTCAATCTTGCGACATAGAAGAGGTTTCAGTATTTTAGCTCTTAACTAGTTAGATTCAAACCAATTTCATATTTCAACCATATCAAATTGACGTTCTTGAATACTTAGATAACTATAATTAGGCTCATCGCAATAGATTTGCCTGGTTGGCGATGTAACAGTTTTAATACACGTGTGTCACAGCACGTGACGATGAGTTAAAAGAGTCGAATTCGCTCCGCCTATAACAGATTCCCAGTGGTTCACTAATTATCCTGATCTATGAACTACTTTTCGACTTCATCGCGTGATGCATATGTATAGAAACACTAGAAGTAAAATATTCCAATAAAGAAATATGTGATTGCGATGACAGGTGTCTATGAATCTCGTTTCAGTTAGGGTGTAACCATTTTCATAATCAACCTACATTCATCGTTGGTGAATGAAAAATTCACCTTAGTACCGTGCGCCCTCATTTGTAGCAAAACGAGAAGCATGAAAGCATGCAAGCATGCAGCATGGACATCGATGTAACACGCTGTTCTTTCTTCCAGATGCCATGAAATGCGAGGAGAAAGGACTCACGACCACTGCTTCCTGGATGCCACCGAAGATTGGTAAATATTACGCTTTCACGATAATAAAGCACCTTATCATATCATTAAAATATGTCTCTTTTAACACCATTTGGGCTATTTGAGCATACGCAACTTCTTGCCTTATAAAAATTGTGACACACTACTTTTGGACTTCAATCCCCTGTCAATCGATGTTTTGTTCATCACACATTGCTTTGTGAAATGTAACATTTATTTGTCAGAGAGCTACTCTATCCCAGAGAATGATATGGCGTCCCACAGAATGATAAGGCGTCCCAGAGAATGACAAGGCGCCCCAGAGAATGATATGGCGTCCCAGAGAATGATAACTTTCGGCACTTGATTGGCTTGGCATTGACCCAGGTTGAATCTTGGGCTGAATGTTTTTACAGGACGATCTATTCTGCCCAGTGAAGACGCATGCCATTGACCTATGCAGTGTTTTAGGCGACTTTTTAATTACATTAGTGTAGCATTTCGACCCTTCTTAAAGGGACCCTCCCACCTTCAAAAAAGTTAATGAATTGGCATGAAAGTGATGTCGCTCGGTTCAGAAAGAGCAAAAACGAATATCTACCAAATTTCATCGAAAAATATTCACCAGTTTTCAAGATATTAGACTTTTACTTTTGTTTACTTTTTGGGATCTCCGCTGTTCCTAGCGACTTTATTTGAAAGTGCGGCATTTGTTGCGCGCAAAGCAGCATATACCACCGCGTGCTACAAAACGTTTTAGTCACACATTTAACGGACGTTCGAAAGCCTGATGACGTCATCAGATTCCCGTAATGGTTAAGAGATAGGGACCACGCTGGTCCCACCCTGCAAGTAAAGGGAAGAAATTTCTTGAACACCATAAAGCTGCGGGGGTTGCGACCAGGATAAATGGTGGTTTCTGAGCCTGGCCGCAAACTTGGCTATCTCAACTCAAAACTAATGTTAAGGTGGGAGGGTCCCTTTAACTAGGTGAACGCTTGGTGATGGCAGTAAATGTCTTTTTCGTGATAAAGCTAAACGAAGATAGTCTTAAAGCAATCATAAATACAGCCTTTGTAATTTTTACCATCTATCTATCGTAACTAACAACTACATCTATCGTAGACGCTATGTAGCTATGAGCTTAAAAACTGTTCACTGACGTACGATAGACCAGAGACCTATTGATATAACATAGCAATATTAGGTCACTTACATACCTTAGCTTAGTGTGATGCCTTCCTCAGCTAACTTTATATCTATGAGCACATTTGTCGAAATTGATTACCGCGTTCGTAGGAAAGTCACTACTGATCTCATCAATTCGTGTGACCTAACACGTTTTGTTGCGAGCTTATTTCCTTATTTGTTTGCTCTTCAAAACGTAATAAACCACAGACTCAGGTCCGACTTATGATTGTTGTCGTACCTGATACCACTTATTACTGAAGTGTTTACTTAATCCGTAATAATCTGTTAATAATCGGATGATGATAATAAGTTCCGTAATAATTACATTATCTTTGGAAATCACATCGGTCCATTTGGGTACGAAGACGTCGGCAGATTCGATGTTTGTTTTGTTTTGTTTTGTTGGGTTAGGCCCTTTCGGTCGACAAGACCATTGCAGAGCCGGAAGGATGATAGGAATTAGGGGGAGACATTGGTCTGGACAGGCACCCTAGTGAGTCGCCGGGGCTGAGCCCGTCCAGAGGACAGGCCACCCAGCCCCAAGACACTCACTGCACCCGGCTACGGGGTGCGCTCCCTCGGGAGCAGCGGTGCCGCTCCAAGGGAGCAGCCCGCATGAGATAAAGTTGCCTGTCCAGCCCGGAGGGGGGTTGCGGCGTGGAGGAGAAGGATTTCAGTATCCTGAGGATAGAAGCACGGAACGGTGAGATTCGATGAGGGGAGGATTCTAGGCTCAGAAGAACAGAAGGTGCGTGGAACGCGTATAACACTTATTTTTGCATATTTACTGGTAGACAGCTATCAAATGATATGGTGCAAAACGTGAGGAATGGAATGCAAGGAAGGTCCTTTTTCTAGCAAAATGTTGAAGCGGCGCTTCTAGTTTGGAAACGGGCGTCATTCCTAAAGCCATTTGGAGGTCATGAATGGAAGTGGTTTCTATAAATATGCAGATATGCGTCACTTTACCATTATTAATTCGCTAAAAACAGGCAGCCTTCTTTGCCACCTCAAGAGTTATAGGCTGGCACTTGGTTTCAACTGTGTTATTTGCGTTTTCGAACGGACAGGCTGAGAGAAAAAAAACCTTTGCTACGTTATTTAACTTAACGCATGCATCACCAATGTACTCGGGCTTGGTGACTCGTCAGCCAAATCCATCTGTAAATTCATCGAATTCCTGTGAACTCGGCTGAGATGAGCTCGATATGATGTGCCGTAGATCGAAGGGCGTCACTCGTCAGTCGTGGACCGATTTGTCATTCACGTGCTAAAGGTGGGCACGAGTCGTCATCGATTCCTTTTCCTGCATTTGCCATATTGCTCAGTGATAGGTAATGGTGGCTTAAATTGTAGAAGGAAATTGAAGTTAACGTAGTAGAATGATTGATTTGACTTCATTCATCGTCGGAGGAGTTTCGTTTTGCTGACCTTATGCCTACAGGGTCTCGTGCTGCCTAGAAAATGTCATTGTCCTCTGTATTAGAGAGAAACTAGTCCGGGAGTTGCGTATGGTGAATGACTTCACCAGGCGCAGTATGGCGCTGATGTAGGACTGGCACTCATGAAAGACAAAGATTAGCGCCAGTTCTTCCTCCATGTCGTTGAAAAGATCACAGAAAAGGCTATCCTGACACCCGAAGATCGACTGCAAATTGCTAACCAGGCTACACACAAAGTGATCTGGGTGCCCGTTGCCCATGATGCCCCTCCCTCCAATGAGGCGCCAATAATCTATAGAAGAGGAGGAACTGGAGTAGTGGAGTACATAGACCAGCGTTTCGGTGTGACCGAAGCTGCATGAAATGTCAATAAACAATATGAAAATTACTAAGAAATGCCTTATTATCATCCGATTACAGCGTAATAGGAAAGTCAGAAACGATTTTAATGATATTGAAATCTGCTACCAAAATCTCAATTTTGACCTTGATTCGCGACCTCTAAACATCAATATTTTTCCATACAAATTTGCCTCCCTTATTTTTTACGGGAATGGAACCGGAAAACCACCCGCACGCATTAAATATTAAAAAATGATTTTTAAGTGCCACCCTAAGCCACACTTTACGACATTTTAACAGGTCCCGATTTTCCCGACTTTTGGGTCATGACCTGACCTGGAAGGTCAACCAATGACCTAGGACCTTAAAATTGGGTATCATCGGCTTTTTCTCGTCACGGGCAACACGCTCGCTTTTTTCTGCGAAGCTCTAGATCGATCAGGGGCGAAACAGCAAGGGGGTCCAACGGACCCTAGGGGGGTCCGTTGGACATGATCCTTCAAATGGACACCTACTAGGGTGACCCGCGTGCTCCGCAACGCGAAAGGGGTATTTTCGATCGGCGGGTGTTTGGTTGTTCCTGTGTCGGTTGGGTTATCTATCCATTTCGGTCGATTGCTTTTTGACGGCTAAACGTTTTGGTTTGTGAAAAAAATATCCACCGCATCGAGGTGCCCGTGTCTGATAAGCATGCTTTCCACTTCAGAATCTGTCAAATGTGCTTTATAATTGAGGTGCGTAGTTTTAAGACAAATGAAAGGCGTAGATAATTTTCGCTAAAAATCGTTTTGCAGAGGTTTAAAACATTTATATTTTTAAGAATACTGTTGCTTGTCATGCAAACGTGATGATTGGATCTTGGAGAGAATTGAATGCTCTTTCTAATTATAGCATTTTCAATTGTCAAGCGTATCGGGTTAAGCAGCAAATCCCGTGTAACTTTTTAGTGGCACATTATGGGCAATTGTCATTTTCTCCAGTAATTTGTTCCACCTTGTTTTTGATCATTTAGCTTTTCACAATTTTTCCATGAAAGGTGATACATTTCCCTTGCCAAAAGGCATTGTTTTAACTCTCTCAGTCTGCCGGTCACGTAAAAATAAAATAAAATCCAAAATCCGTCCGAAACGTCAATTTTTCAAACAAAAGTGCCCCCACGGGTGCACGTGGCGCGTGCCATCCCCTGCACCGCACACCATTCGATAGCCCGTTCGATTCTCTACACGATGCTGTTTTCCCCGTGACGATCGGGTGCACGGTTACCGAGATATTGCACGGAAACCGGACCCGTGTCGGGCAAATTTAGCCATTTTCGCCCGATTTTGCAAGCCGATTTATACATGTTAAGTCTATGACGCGAATTTGCACTTTTTGGGCACGCGCCACGCGCTCGCTATCGATCCGATCGAGCTGAGACCGCTCAAAGGCACGTTGTTCATCCTTGTTCTATAAGTTGCGCAAATTTCAGCGTGCTGGGTGCGACGGTCTGACCTGAAACCCGCGCTACGTAACACCAAGTCGCGACCTCGGTTACAGACAGAAACTACGTCACCACAAATAGTAATATAGACAAGCGGCTGCGCCACTTGCTTTGCTGCGTGGTAGGAAAAAATTGCGGCACCAGCCAATTTGCTTTCGAATGGTGTTCGTTTCAAATCGATGTGTCGTCTAGAAGCATAGATATGGACGGAAATGTGAAGAGAATTAAAAAAAAACTGTTCTGAGGGTTTTGTTGGATGAAATTTGGCTGATACGGGGTCTAGAAAGGCCAAGGGAGTCAGCCCCGGTCACTTTGGGTCAGGCCAGGTCACATAGGTCACCTCTCGTCCGATGGGATCAGCCCGGGCCACAATTCTACTTTTGCCTCCACCACTACCCCTACCCCTACCCCTACCCCTACCCCTACCACTACCCCTACCCCTACCACTACACCACTACATCTACCCCTACTACTACCCCTACTACTACCCCTACTACTACCCCTACCACTACCCCTACCACTACCCCTACCCCTACTACTACTCCTACCACTACCCCTACCCTACTACTACTCCTACCACTACCCCT